GACTCAACACTGCACCATAGACTCAACACTGCCATAGACTCAACACTGCACCATAGACTCAACACTGCACCATAGACTCAACACTGCCCATAGACTCAACACTGCCCCATAGACTCAACACTGCCCATAGACTCAACACTGCCCCATAGACTCAACACTGCCCCATAGACTCAACACTGCACCATAGACTCAACACTGCACCATAGACTCAACACTGCACCATAGACTCAACACTGCCCATAGACTCAACACTGCCCATAGACTCAACACTGCCCATAGACTCAACACTGCACCATAGACTCAACACTGCAGCATAGACTCAACACTGCCCATAGAATCAGCACTGCACCATAGACTCAGCACGGCTCCATAGCCTCAACACTGCACCATAGACTCAACACGCACCATAGACTCACACTGCACCATAGACTCAACATGCACCATAGACTCAACACTGCCCATAGACTCAACAATGCCCACATAGACTCAACACTGCACCATAGACTCAGCACTGCACCATAGACTCACACTGCACCATAGACTCAACACTGCACCCTAGACTCACACTGCCCATAGACTCAACACTGCACCATAGACTCAACACTGCCATAGACTCAACACTGCCCATAGACTCAACACTGCACCATAGACTCAACACTGCCCATAGACTCAACACTGCCCATAGACTCAACACTGCACCATAGACTCACACTGCCCATAGACTCAACACTGCACCATAGACTCAACACTGCCCATAGACTCACACTGCCCATAGACTCAACACTGCACCATAGACTCAACACTGCACCATAGACTCAACACTGTACCATAGACTCAACACTGCCCATAGACTCAACACTGCACCATAGACTCAACACTGCCCATAGACTCACACTGCACCATAGACTCAACACTGCACCATAGACTCAACACTGCACCATAGACTCAACACTGCCCATAGACTCACACTGCACCATAGACTCAACACTGCACCATAGACTCAACACTGCACCATAGACTCAACACTGCACCATAGACTCAACACTGCCCATAGACTCACACTGCACCATAGACTCAACACTGCACCATAGACTCAACACTGCACCATAGACTCAACACTGCACCATAGACTCAACACTGCACCATAGACTCAACACTGCACCATAGACTCAACACTGCACCATAGACTCAACACTGCACCATAGACTCAACACTGCACCATAGACTCAACACTGCACCATAGACTCCACTAAGTGGCGGTGACGTCACCACACACCATGACGTCACCATACACCATGACGTCACCCCACACCATGACGTCACCACAACACAGATGTTGCTGAATGTCTACCTCTTACAACAACAACAACCACCACTACACGAGTTGTTGTTGTGGTTGTTGTGATACTCACAGGGCAGTAGCAGCAGCAGTGATGTACAAGTTGTAGTTGTTGTGGTTGTGGTAGTTGTTGTGGTGGTTGTGGTTGTTGTGGTAGTTGTGGTGGTTGTGGTGGTGGTTGTGGTAGTTGTGGTGGTTGTTGTTGTTGTGGTAGTTGTGGTGGTTGTGATACTCACAGGGTAGTAGTAGTAGCAGTGATGTACAAGTCGTAGTTGTTGTGGTGGTTGTTGTGGTTGTTGTGGTAGTTGTGGTTGTTGTTGTGGTTGTTGTGGTGGTTGTGGTGGTTGTTGTTGTGGTGGTTGTGGTGGTAGTTGTGGTAGTTGTTGTTGTGGTAGTTGTTGTGGTAGTTGTGGTGGTAGTTGTTGTGGTAGTTGTGGTTGTTGTGGTAGTTGTTGTGGTGGTTGTGGTTGTTGTTGTGGTGGTTGTTGTGATTGTTGTTGTGGTAGTTGTGGTGGTTGTTGTGGTAGTTGTGGTAGTTGTTGTGGTAGTTGTGGTGGTTGTTGTGGTAGTTGTGGTAGTTGTTGTGGTGGTTGTGGTGGTGGTTGTGGTAGTTGTGGTGGTTGTTGTTGTTGTGGTGGTTGTTGTGGTTGTGATACTCACAGGGTAGTAGTAGTAGCAGTGATGTACAAGTCGTAGTTGTTGGGTTGGTTGTTGTGGTTGTTGTGGTTGTTGTGGTTGTTGTGGTGGTTGTTGTTGTGGTTGTTGTGGTGGTTGTGGTGGTAGTTGTGGTAGTTGTTGTGGTTGTTGTGGTAGTTGTTGTTGTGGTAGTTGTTGTGGTTGTTGTGGTTGTTGTGGTAGTTGTGGTGGTTGTGGTGGTTGTTGTGGTAGTTGTTGTGATTGCTGTTGTGGTAGTTGTGGTAGTAGTTGTGGTAGTTGTGATGGTTGTTGTGGTGGTTGTGGTTGTTGTGGTAGTTGTGGTAGTTGTTGTGGTAGTTGTTGTTGTAGTAGTTGTGGTAGTTGTTGTGGTGGTTGTGGTGGTAGTTGTGGTAGTTGTTGTGGTTGTTGTGGTGGTTGTTGTTGATGGGCGATTGTCTGAGCGCCTCTCGTCACCAGGGCGACCCCATCAGCGACCCCATCAGCGCGTGACGTCACCACGGTGACGTCACGCGCTGATGCCCCGCCCCCTTCAGGCGCGAGCCGCTCCTCCGATTGGCTGCCGGCGTTGCCGCGTCACCCCGCAGCCCTCTTCTCATTGGTGGATTGAAAACCCATCTCGGAAGATGTCTTCCCGTTACAGTAGATGTCTTCCTCTTCCAGAAGATGGCTTCCTGTTCCAGAAGATGTCTTCCCGTTACAGAAGACGTCTTCTTCTTCCAGAAGATGTCTTCCTGTTCCAGAAGATGGCTTCCTGTTCCAGAAGACGTCTTCCTGTTCCAGAAGATGTCTTCCTGTTCCAGAAGAGGTCTTCCCGTTCCAGAAGATGTCTTCCCGTTACAGAAGACGTCTTCCTCTTCCAGAAGATGTCTTCCCGATCCAGAAGATGTCTTCCTGTTCCAGAAGATGTCTTCCTGTTCCAGAAGATGTCTTCCTGTTCCAGAAGATGTCTTCCTGTTCCAGAAGATGTCTTCCTGTTCCAGAAGATGTCTTCCTGTTCCAGAAGATGTCTTCCTGTTCCAGAAGATGTCTTCCCGTTCCAGAAGATGTCTTCCTGTTCCAGAAGATGTCTTCCTCTTCCAGAAGATGTCTTCCTGTTCCAGAAGAGGTCTTCCCGTTCCAGAAGATGTCTTCCCGTTACAGAAGACGTCTTCCTCTTCCAGAAGATGTCTTCCCGATCCAGAAGATGTCTTCCCGTTACAGAAGACGTCTTCCTCTTCCAGAAGATGTCTTCCTGATCCAGAAGTTGTCTTCCTGATCCAGAAGATGTCTTCCTGTTCCAGAAGATGTCTTCCTGTTCCAGAAGATGTCTTCCTGTTCCAGAAGATGTCTTCCTGTTCCAGAAGATGTCTTCCTGTTCCAGAAGATCTCTTCCTGTTCCAGAAGATGTCTTCCCGTTCCAGAAGATGTCTTCCTGTTCCAGAAGATGTCTTCCTCTTCCAGAAGATGTCTTCCTGTTCCAGAAGATGTCTTCCCGTTCCAGAAGATGTCTTCCTGTTCCAGAAGATGTCTTCCTCTTCCAGAAGATGTCTTCCTGTTCCAGAAGATGTCTTCCTGATCCAGAAGATGTCTTCCTGTTCCAGAAGTTGTCTTCCTGATCCAGAAGATGTCTTCCTGTTCCAGAAGATGTCTTCCTGTTCCAGAAGATGTCTTCCTGTTCCAGAAGATGTCTTCCTGTTCCAGAAGATGTCTTCCTGTTCCAGAAGATGTCTTCCTGTTCCAGAAGATGTCTTCCCGTTCCAGAAGATGTCTTCCTGTTCCAGAAGATGTCTTCCTCTTCCAGAAGATGTCTTCCTGTTCCAGAAGAGGTCTTCCCGTTCCAGAAGATGTCTTCCCGTTACAGAAGACGTCTTCCTCTTCCAGAAGATGTCTTCCCGATCCAGAAGATGTCTTCCCGTTACAGAAGACGTCTTCCTCTTCCAGAAGATGTCTTCCTGATCCAGAAGTTGTCTTCCTGATCCAGAAGATGTCTTCCTGTTCCAGAAGATGTCTTCCTGTTCCAGAAGATGTCTTCCTGTTCCAGAAGATGTCTTCCTGTTCCAGAAGATGTCTTCCTGTTCCAGAAGATGTCTTCCTGTTCCAGAAGATCTCTTCCTGTTCCAGAAGATGTCTTCCCGTTCCAGAAGATGTCTTCCTGTTCCAGAAGATGTCTTCCTCTTCCAGAAGATGTCTTCCTGTTCCAGAAGATGTCTTCCCGTTCCAGAAGATGTCTTCCTGTTCCAGAAGATGTCTTCCTCTTCCAGAAGATGTCTTCCTGTTCCAGAAGAGGTCTTCCCGTTCCAGAAGATGTCACCAACACATGGGATGGACGTTTTATAACAATGTTCTACACCAATGTCTAATAGTGTATTGTATTGCATTGCTCTGTTTATACTTTTATTTACCATTTCTTGCTTCGTTGCATGTAATGTTTGAGATTAGGGTCTAATAAAGTACAACCGCAATCACATCAACAGAAGTCTACGCGTTGATTTGCACGAAGGCAAGTCCAGATATTGTGCCCAAGGTTTAGCAAATTGTTTTAATTTACACAGCAAAGCAATTGTTGCTTAACTTTAAATACATATTATAACTACGGCCTTGACGTATGAACTCGTCACGTGATCTGACGAGCTTTGTCTCCCCAGGGGCGATGTTCACACACAACACCAGCTACTCATTTGAGGCTGAGTCGACCTAGGGGAGGCCCAGGACCGGTTCAAATGAATCGTCACTGACGGTGTCGGCCGTGAGCGGGAATCGAACTCGGGTCGCCGGGTTCGTAGTGCAGCGCGCTAACCGCTGCACCACCGCTCCCCCACGTGGTGCCAGGCTAGGTGCACCTAGAGCCACCGTCGCCTCTGATTGGACGGCGCTTCTATTGGCTCAGACACTCAGACCGCGTTGCAGTCGATTCGATTCTTAATTAAAACTCAACGCGATTCAACCGCTGTTAAAGAACGGGGCGTTGTGAATCGATGATCGATTCTATAATCGTTTGTTATTGCAGTCCCTGAATGGAGGGAATCGATTTGGTGATTTAGCCGTTCATCGATTCTGGAGTCGGGAAGGAATCTAAACTAAGCAGTCCGCGTTTGAGGTAAAATTTTCATGTAATAATTCTGATATTTCGGTGTTTATTTAATGTACTTCAACAATAAAACTGCAGGGATTCATATTCTTAAAGTCACGTAGAAGGGAAATAATACAAAGAAAGCAATACAATAGTTGTATTCTAATAGTAAAATAATGTTCTTACGTGTTTTATTATAATAATAAAATAATTGTATTATGTAAAATGTTTATTATTTCCCTTCTACGTGACTTTACCGAAAGAATCAACAATACGGGAGTTTTATTTTCTTGGTTATTTCGGTAAAGTCACGTAGAAGGGAAATAATAAAAATTAAACAATAAAATTTGTTATTATAATAAAATATTAAAAATAATACGATTGTATTATGTTTTATTTTTATTATTTTATTACTTCCTTTCTACGTGACTTTACCGATAGAACCAATAAATCGGGAGTTTTATTGTTGAGTTTTGTAATTCGTGCTTTAAAATTTTTCCTCAAAGTCTTCTTGAGGAATTATTTTCCCCTCCCACGTGACGCGGAGTTATTTTCCCGCCAAATCTTTTCGGCTCCTCCCCCTCGGCCGCCCCCATTTGAGGGGGGGGGGTGAAGGCGGTTGCCATGGATATTTGTTTTGGTTGCCATGGATATTTGTTTTGGTTGCCATGGATATTTGTTGCGGTTGCCATGGATTTTTTTTGTGGTTGCCATGGATTTTTGTTTTGGTTCCCATGGATTTTTGTTTTGGTTGCCATGGATATTTGTTTTGGTTGCCATGGATTTTTGTTTTGGTTGCCATGGATTTTTGATGCGGTTGCCATGGATTTTTTTTGTGGTTGCCATGGATTTTTGTTTTGGTTGCCATGGATATTTGTTTTGGTTGCCATGGATATTTGTTTTGGTTGCCATGGATATTTGTTTTGGTTGCCATGGATATTTGTTGCGGTTGCCATGGATATTTGTTTTGGTTGCCATGGATTTTTGTTTTGGTTGCCATGGATTTTTGTTTTGGTTGCCATGGATATTTGTTTTGGTTGCCATGGATATTTGTTTTGGTTGCCATGGATATTTGTTTTGGTTGCCATGGATTTTTGTTTTGGTTGCCATGGATTTTTGTTTTGGTTGCCATAGATTTTTGATGCGGTTGCCATGGATATTTGTTTTGGTTCCCATGGATATTTGTTTTGGTTGCCATGGATATTTGTTTTGGTTGCCATGGATTTTTGTTTTGGTTGCCATGGATTTTTGTTTTGGTTGCCATAGATTTTTGATGCGGTTGCCATGGATATTTGTTTTGGTTCCCATGGATATTTTGTTTTGGTTGCCATGGATATTTGTTTTGGTTGCCATGGACTTTTGTTTTGGTTGCCATGGATTTTTGTTTTGGTTGCCATGGATTTTTGTTGCGGTTTTCATGGATTTTTGCTGATTCTATGGTGCAGTGTTGAGTCTATGGTGCAGTGTTGAGTCTATGGGCAGTGTTGAGTCTATGGGCAGTGTTGAGTCTATGGTGCAGTGTTGAGTCTATGGTGCAGTGTTGAGTCTATAGTGCAGTGCTGAGTCTATGGTACAGTGTTGAGTCTATGGGCAGTGTTGAGTCTATGGGCAGTGTTGAGTCTATGGTGCAGTGTTGAGTCTATGGTGCAGTGTTGAGTCTATGGGCAGTGTTCAGTCTATGGTGCAGTGTTGAGTCTATGGTGCAGTGTTCAGTCTATGGTGCAGTGTTGAGTCTATGGTGCAGTGTTCAGTCTATGGTGCAGTGTTGAGTCTATGGTGCAGTGTTGAGTCTATGGTGCAGCGCTGAGTCTATGGTGCAGTGTTGAGTCTATGGTGCAGTGCTGAGTCTATGGTGCAGTGTTGAGTCTATGGTGCAGTGTTGAGTCTATGGTGCAGTGTTGAGTCTATGGTGCAGTGTTCAGTCTATGGTGCAGTGTTGAGTCTATGGTGCAGTGTTGAGTCTATGGTGCAGTGTTGAGTCTATGGTGCAGTGTTGAGTCTATGGTGCAGTGTTGAGTCTATGGTGCAGTGTTGAGTCTTATGAAGCAATGATCTTTAAAATCAGAAAGTCCGGGTGGACTTAGCCATTGCAAAGCGTTCACAACACTCTCCCCTCACAGTTGCGCATTTCTCGCTCAGCGATGTCGCACGCCTCAGACCCTCCCAGGATGTTCCAAATTCTCCGCTACGCGGTGCCGCCGCCTCCGGCTCAGGAGACGCGCCTCGAAGCCTCTGGGCCGCTGCCCGAGACCTCCGCCTGCCCTGTGGTGGCCACCGGCGGTGACGGATACGGTGACAGTGACGGTGACGGCGGCAGCGGTGACGGCCCCGGTAACGTCCCGACGCTTGTACGCAAGGTGAGTGTTTCCCGACTCGTGTTCAACTGGAATATCTTCTTGGTTCTTTCGGTAAAGTCACGTAGAAAGGAAGTAATACAATTAAAATGAAACAATTCTCACGACGTTTCGGCCACAACGCAAGCAGCCGTCCTCAGGTTAAAACCACCTGAGGGCGGCTGCTTGCGTTGTGGCCGAAACGTCGTGAGAATTATATTATTATGTTTAATTTTTATTATTTTATTATTTCCCTTCTACGTGACTTTACCGAAAGAACCAAGAAGATGAATCCCTGCAGTCACGAAAGCTTTACATCGAAACGTAAAAATGTTTTATTTTTATTATTTTATTATTTCCCTTCTACGTGATGACTTTACCGAAATAATTATTGTATTATGTTTTATTTGTATTATTTTATTTCCCTTCTACGTGACTTTACCGAAAGAACCAAGAAGATGAATCCCTGCAGTTACGAAAGCTTTACATCGACATTCAACTGGAATGATTTCTCGTTGCTTACCGTACAAAGGGGCCCGTGCGAGGTGCGACGGACGTAGCCGCGTCTCTCTTCAGAAGCGACTCTCTTCCCGTCACCGGAGTGGGCTCGCCGCCGTGTGCACGTTCACGTTGGCCAAGTGACTCTTGTTCAACACGGGTCACCTTCATTTCACATGTGGAGGGATCATCAGGCGGGGCCCGGAGAGAAATCCACACGGCCATCGGGGGAGAGAGAGAGAGACACAAACTCCAAATATAGAGCGGGTGTCAGGGTCTGGATTGAACCCACGACGTCCTGTAGACCAGGCGAGGTAGTTAACATCTCCTAGCCACCGTGATGATGATGATGAGAGAGACGCAAACTCCAAATATACAGCAGCAGGCGTCAGGGTCAGGATCGAACCCACGACCTCCTGCGTACCAGGCGAGGTCGTTAACATCTCCTAGCCACCGTGATGATGATGATGAGAGAGACGCAAACTCCAAATATACAGCAGGTGTCAGGGTCAGGATCGAATCCACGACCTCCTGTACACCAGGCGAGGTAGTTAACATCTCCTAGCCACCGTGATGATGATGAGAGAGAGAGACACGCAAACTCCAAATATACAGCAGCAGGCGTCAGGGTCAGGATAGAACCCACGACCTCCTGCGTACCAGGCGAGGTAGTCAACATCTCTTAGCCACCGTGATGGACAAAAACGTCGTGATGTTTTTAATGCGCTTGATCGTTGTCCGTGTAACTCGCCGTCGCGTCCACTCTGCGTGACGCCGGCGATTTTTAACCGACGAGATGTTTGTTCAATTGTTTCCGTTTAGGTTCGGCAAAGGAGACGGATGTCGCTGCACAGGAACGAGCGCGGTAAGGTGCCGGGTTGTTTCTATTCTTGTCCGCACCTCTCCTCTCTAGCAGCACAAGCAGCTGCACGAGTAGCAGCTACGGGCCTCGCACTTTCAAGGGCCCCGCGCTAAACGGTTTCAAGCTATCAATTCCCGTTCAGTGATTCTATTACTCAGTTTAACACGTAGCAGGCTTTCGCGACCAATGTTATTCATAATCAACGTTTTTGGGTTTAGATCGCGTTTATTTATAAATGTGTCGTAACCCTCCACCACCCGACACGGCCAATCAGTAAAAATGTGTCACGTTGACAAAGACAAATAGTTCTCTGCTTTAGCCCACCGGTGTGTTGAAGCCACAACATTTACTATTTGAGTAGCACGACGTTTCGCTGGTAATTGCAACCAGCATCATCGGGCAATTCGCCAGAACACACCGGTGGGCTAAAGCAGTGGACTATTTGTCTTTGTCAACGTGACACATTTTTACTGATTGGCCGTGTCGGGTGGTGGAGGGTTACGACACATTCTATTACTATAGTACTATACCGCCTTATTGGTTCTTTCGGTAAAGTCACGTAGAAGGGAAATAATAAAATAATAAAAATAAAACATTTAATAATTCTCACGACGTTTCGGCCACGACGCAAGCAGCCGTCCTCAGGTGAAGAACAGGTCTGTCGGAAAGACAGCGTCCGAATGAAACGCCGCCAGGCTTGGCAGCGTATATTGAAGCTGCTGGGTTGGAGGGGGAAGAGCTCCTTGACAAAAAATGTTGCATATCAAGAGGAATTTAGCATATTTATGGGAAATACAGATATGGGATTAGTCACTGCTTGTGGAATGTGTAGGAGGTGGGCGGGGGGTTTCCCTTCTACGAAAGAACCAAGAAGATGAATCTCTGCAGTCACGAAAGCTTTAAATGGATACAATACCGCCTGCAACTCTTACGAACGACCGGGTGTTTGAGGCGGCGCGAAAGACGCTCAGCACACACGCGCGCACACACACACACACGCACACACACGGCGCACACACACGCGCACACACGCGCGCACACACACACGCGCACACACACACACACACGCACACGCGCACACACGCACACACACACGCGCGCACGCACACACGCACACACGTGAACACACACACACGCGCGCACACACGCACACACACACACACGTGCACACACACACGTGCACACGCACACACACACAGACACGCACACACGTGCACACACACACGCGCACACACACACGCACACACGCACACACACGTGTCACGGTTCAGCTTCCCCCTTCCCCGACCGACCGTCCTCACGGCACGGAGCGTGCTCCGGACAGGCTTCCCGGCGGCGGTCTTGCCGGCGCCGCTTGCCGCCCCCCTCGCCGCGGCGTCACGGACGCAGCGCCGGCGTGGCGGCCGCTACCAGCCCGGACGTCCACGCGGGGTGAGCCAACGCCTTCAGCGACGGGCGCCAGCTCATCTACGTGTCTCTGTGCGAGTCTCTGTGCGAGTCTCTGTGTGTGTGTGTCGGTCACCGTCACCCACCGGCTCATCTACGTGTCTCTGTGCGAGTCTCTGTGTGTGTGTGTCGGTCACCGTCACCCACCAGCTCATCTACGTGTCTCTGTGCGAGTCTCTGTGTGTGTGTGTCGGTCACCGTCACCCACCAGCTCGTCTACGCGTCTCTGTGCGAGTCTCTGTGTGTGTGTGTCGGTCACCGTCACCCACCGGCTCATCTACGTGTCTCTGTGCGAGTCTCTGTGTGTGTGTCGGTCACCGTCACCCACCAGCTCATCTACGTGTCTCTGTGCGAGTCTCTGTGCGCGTGTCGATCACTGTCACCCACCAGCTCGTCTACGTGTCTCTGTGCGAGTCTCTGTGTGTGTGTCGATCACCGTCACCGACCAGCTCGTCTACGTGTCTCTGTGCGAGTCTCTGTGTGTGCGTGTCGATCACCGTCACCCACCAGCTAATCTACGTGTCTCTGTGCGAGTCTCTGTGTGTGTGTCGATCACCGTCACGCACCGTGTTAATCTACGCGTCTCTGTGCGAGTCTCTGTGTGTGTGTCGATCACCGTCACCGACCAGCTCATCTACGTGTCTCTGTGCGAGTCTCTGTGTGTGTGTGTCGGTCACCGTCACCCACCAGCTCATCTACGTGTCTCTGTGCGAGTCCCTGTGTGTGTGTCGGTCACCGTCACCGACCAGCTCATCTACGTGTCTCTGTGCGAGTCTCTGTGTGTGTGTGTCGATCACCGTCACCCACCAGCTCATCTACGTGTCTCTGTGCGAGTCTCTGTGTGTGTGTCGGTCACCGTCACCCACCGTGCTAATCTACGTGTCTCTGTGCGAGTGTCTGTGTGCGTGTCGATCACCGTCACGCACCAGTTCATCTACGTGTCTCTGTGCGAGTGTCTGTGTGTGTGTCGGTCACCGTCACGCACCAGTTCATCTACGTGTCTCTGTGCGAATGTCTGTGTGTGTGTCGGTCACCGTCACCCACCGGCTCATCTACGTGTCTCTGTGCGAGTCTCTGTGCGTGTGTCGGTCACGTCACCCACCGGCTCATCTACGTGTCTCTGTGTGTAGCCGAGCACGCTAATCTACGTGTCTCTGTGTGTGTAGAACTTCTTTAGCTCCGACGTGCCGAGTCCGCCGCGCCCGGAGGCGGTGCTTGCGAAGGGCAGCTTCGCGCCGCCCACAGAGTCGCTGCGTCCGACGCTTGAGGAGCCGCACCGTCCCCGCCTGGTGGAACAAGCAGCCGCAGCGCCGGCAGCAGCCAGCGCCGCCCCCTCGGGGGGCCCTAGGGGGGGTGGGGCTCGGGGCTCGGGGCCGGCGTCACGGACTCGCTCCCACGACGCTGCACTCCGCTAGCCGGGCGGCTCTCGCGCTCCCCTCACCGTCTTCTGCTTTGCCGCTAGTGACACGTTGTGAGGTGCTCGGTCTCACACTCACCTCGTTGTGCTGTTGACAGAGGGTCGACTTTGCCGCTAGTGACGCGTTGTGAGGTGCACAGTCACACTCACCTTGTTGTGTTGTTCACAGAGGGTCGACTTTGTCACTAGTGGCGCGTTGTGAGGTGCTCAGTCTCACACTCACCTTGTTGTGTTGTAGACAGAGGGTCGACTTTGTCGCTAGTGGCGCGTTGTGAGGTGCACAGTCTCACACTCACCTTGTTGTGTTGTTCACAGAGGGTCGACTTTGTCGCTAGTGGCGCGTTGTGAGGTGCACAGTCTCACTCACCTTGTTGTGTTGTTCACAGAGGGTCGACTTTGTCGCTAGTGACTCGTTGTGAGGTGCACGGTCTCACACTCACCTCGTTGTGTTGTTCACAGAGGGTCGACTTTGTCGCTAGTGGCGCGATGTGAGGTGCTCGGTCTCACACTCACCTCGTTGTGTTGTTCACAGAGGGTCGACTTTGTCGCTAGTGGCGCGATGTGAGGTGCTCGGTCTCACACTCACCTTGTTGTGTTGTTGACAGAGGGTCGACTTTGTCGCTAGTGACTCGTTGTGAGGTGCACAGTCTCACACTCACCTCGTTGTGTTGTTGACAGAGGGTCGACTTTGCCGCTAGTGACGCGTTGTGAGGTGCACGGTCTCACTCACCTTGTTGTGCTGTTCACAGAGGGTCGACTTTGCCGCTAGTGACGCGTTGTGAGGTGCACAGTCTCACTCACCTTGTTGTGTTGTTGACAGAGGGTCGACTTTGCCGCTAGTGACTCGTGCGTTGCGGGGTTGAGGCACTAACGTGGGTGGGTGGAGGAGGAAACGGGTTCTCTAGTTTGCTGCGTTGATGGTGTCGGCCAGTGACTCCACAACAACCATCAGATGTGTCATCTTCCCCTGGTTGGTTGCATTGGACATTCCACTTGATTGGCTGTGAGATGTAGAACAAGAGAAACAGTCGAAGCGGATTGTGACCTCGCCTCTCGGTGACTCCAGCTCTGTCGTTGAACCCAAAGTGTTCACGATGTTCGCCTGCCATGAGACGCCATAAATGACGTCACGAGATTTTGGAAGATTTTTGACCCCCTCCCCCCCCCCACTTTGTCACACGGCGTCACAAAAAGTCCGCCCCCCCTAAACAAAACATGCTTCAAATCGCTGAAAACGATTGTCATTGTGGTGCGTATTCAGTGTGGCGCTGCACTCTGATGTTGTAGGAGAAAACATTTAATAAAAAGTCTGTTTAGTTAAGTAGAACGTGTCGTCCGTATTTATTTGAAGTCGCGCATTTTGATGTGACGTCACATTCCTCACCCCCCCCCCTCGTCACACATCGTCACAAATGTCTGACCCCCCCCCCCCCTCGTCACACATTGTCACCCGAAATGAGTGACAAACGGTGACTCACCAGTGACTCACGGCCTACCCGTACCCGGCCGCACCAGGGTCGCAAACGGGTACCCGGCTACCCTTACCCGGTCGGGTACGGGTAGCTGGGTATCGGGTAGGGTACGGGTAGAGTACGGGTATCGGGTAGGGTACGGGTATCGGGTAGGGTACGGGTATCGGGTAGGGTACGGGTATCGGGTAGGGTACGGGTATCGGGTAGGGTACGGGTATCAGGTAGGGTACGGGTATCGGGTAGGGTACGGGTATCGGGTAGGGTACGGGTATCGGGTAGGGTAGGGTATCAGGTAGGGTACGGGTATCGGGTAGGGTACGGGTATCGGGTAGGGTAGGGTATCAGGTAGGGTAGGGTATCAGGTAGGGTACGGGTATCAGGTAGGGTAGGGTATCAGGTAGGGTACGGGTATCAGGTAGGGTACGGGTATCGGGTAGGGTACGGGTATCGGGTAGGGTACGGGTATCGGGTACCCGGTTGCGACCTCTGCGTAGCGTGGGGTAGATGGGCGTTCAACAGCCCCAAGTGCAGCTCGTGTTGAGTTGAGTTGGTGAAGCAGCGTTGCTCCCACTGCGTCTGTGACCCAGTTGGACTCACTACGAGTGTCACGTCAACGTGATCTAAACAAAAGCAACAATCCTCCAGGAACATTGTTCCTGCAGCACGGCGGCGAGAGAACGGCGCAGATGTTTTAAGAGACTCAACAAGTCACATTTATTGCTGATAGCTTCACATCAATCACTCAGTCTCGGTCAACACTCACCGTTATTGATCAATTTCAATGTTTTCCTGCGTGGCTAAGAAATTATAATAAAATAAAATAATTATTTTTCAATAATTACCTTATTTCTATTATCTATATTATTTATTTAATACTTATTTTTTCCCGAAAGAGTTTCAAATAATCCTTTTCTCAGAGCATGAGAATGACTTGTGTTGAGGTGACTGCGAGTATGCAGCTATATTCTCACACAGCTCAGCCATGATACAACTACTACTACTCAGATTTGTGTTCCATGATGAGTGAAGATTACGTTTAAAAATCACGACTTCCTTGCACGCACTTTAGTCGGTGACGCTAACCACACAAACATTATTTATGAACCATCAAAACTACTGTCTGATGTTGTGACTTAAAAAAGTGTTTTACAAATATTCAGACAATTTAAAACGACACAATCCCGTGGCTGGATGTTTTGTTCCTGTGTGAGCAGTTTTCTGCGTCAAATAAACGCGCCCAGTGACACGTACCCCACCACAATTGTTCTGTGGAATTTCTTTAAAGTAATGAACATTTCAGTTGGTGGTTCGCACGTTTTAACGCCTCTGAATTTTCATCCGATTCAAGCCCCGGCCGTTTCAATGTTTGCTTCTCTCATTGCCACTGCCGAGACGTGAATTGCCTCAAGTTTAAAATGTTTACATCACGATGCAGAAATTACGAAGCGCTTCTTCTTGGTAAAGTCACGTAGAAGGGAAATAATAAAATAATAAATATAAAACATAATACAATAATTATTTCGGTAAAGTCATCACGTAGAAGGGAAATAATAAAATAATAAAAATAAAACATTTTTATGTTTCGATGTAAAGCTTTCGTGACTGCAGGGATTCATCTTCTTGGTTCTTTCGGTAAAGTCACCACGTAGAAGGGAAGTAATAAAATAATACAAATAAAACAATAAAATTATTCTCACGACGTTTCGGCCACAACGCAAGCAGCCGTCCTCAGGTGAGAACCAGGTCCGTCGAGGCGACAGAGTCTGAATGAAACAGCACACGCGCTTGGAGCATGTATATAAGCTGGGCGCCTTGACAAAGGAATTTGCATATCAAGAGGAATTTAGCATATTTATGGGAAATGCAGGAATGTGATTAGTACTGCGTGTGCATGCGCATTATGCAGGATTAACAGCATCACGAAGCGCTTTCTAAAGACTTTTACTATTTTACTGTTCAACGCCCGACAGAGGTCGGACTACACGTTGAAACAAACCTCGTCTTTGCAAAAAGTAAAAAAGTATAAAAGTTTACGTGGTTTGGTGATGGCCGTGTCAGGTGGTGGTGGCGGTGGGTTCTAATGCCACAATAAGTGTCTATTCACGCGATCTAACCAACACTCAACGTGTATCGTGGAGTCAACAACGACGATGACGACATGAGGGCTGTCCGACGCGTCTCTCGGTAGGGGTCAGGGTGACGTCGCGCCGTGTCCTCCGCACAAATCTGTTGTGCTGCCTTTCCCAGCGGCGACGTTCTCACTCTCCTCCCTCTCTCTCCTCACTCTCCTCTCTCCTCACTCTCTCTTCTCGTCTCCTCACTCACTCTCTCTCCTCACTCTCTCTCTCTCCTCACTCTCTCTCACTATCTCTCCTCACTCTCTCCTCACTCTCTCTTCTCGTCTCCTCACTCACTCACTCTCTCCCCTCACTCTCTCTCACTCTCTCTCTCTCCTCACTATCTCTCCTCACTCTCTCCTCTCTCTCCTCACTCTCTCACTCACTCTCTCCTCACTCTCTCACTCACTCTCTCTCCTCACTCTCTCTCTCACTCTCTCTCTCTCTCTCAGCCACCGTAGGGTGCGGTCGCACGAAGCAGCTGCTCCTGCTCCTACACGTGGGCGAACGGAGGCCTGGGCTCAGGCGAAGGCCTGAGCCCAGCCTAGAGTGAGAGTTTCACACAGAATTTTCTAGCATCCTTTTCCATCCTTTCTTTTAAAACCTTTTAGCCCTCTACCCTACCCTACCCTTACCTTCCCCTTCTAGCCTTTTTTTTTCTTAGTTCACTGCTTTATCGCAGCCTGGGACTGCAGCCACCGTGTTCACCATGGAGCAGCACCTCGGGCTGGAAAGTCTTACGAAAAGAAATGGTCTCATCTGCTTCCCACCGCCAACAACAACCGCGGAGGCTGTCGCAGAGGTGGTGGCAGAGATCGTCGGCTACAACAACGTAGTGGCCGCACAGAGACAGGACCATGGTGTGGTGATATACGTGGCAAAGGAGGAAATGGTGGATGGCGTGGTGGCGACCGGCATTGTTGTGGACGACCTTTTTCTACAGTGCACTCCACTTGCAACACCGGCCATCAGGGTGCTTCTCTCCGGAGCCCCCCCTTTCCTCCCAGGTACGACCCTGAAAAAAGACTTGGAACGTTTTGGGACAGTGGTGTCCAACGTAACAATGATAGCACTACGAACGAAGAACCCGAGGCTGGCGCACGTTAAATCCTTACAGCGCCAAGCGTACATAATACCGAAAGACGGTAAGTCCGAGATAGACATAACGATGAAGTATACCATCGAAGGGCACACCTATATGGTGTTCGCCTCGTCTGTGTCGTTGAGGTGCTTCGGATGCAGTGGAGTGGGGCATACCCGCAGGAACTGCCCGAGGGAAAAAAAGCAGCAGCAAAAGCAGCAACAACAGCAGCAACCGCAGCAGCAGCAGCAACAGCAGCAGCATCAACAGGAGCAGCAGCAGCAGCAGCAGCCGCAGCAGCGGCAGCCGACGCAGCAGCAGCAACAGCAGCGGCAGCCGACGCAGCAGCAACAGCAGCGGCAGCAGCAGCAACAGCAGCCGCAGCAGGACGAGCGGCAGGACCGGCAGGTCACCAGTCACGACCCGCCGGGAGCGCAACCAGGCGGCGACGCGCAGGCGCCGGGGGACGACTCCGCCGGCTTCGTCGTGGTCGAAGGGAGCCGAAAGAAGCAAAGGGCCAAGAGGAAGGCGAAAGAACGGGCACGCGGAGGGGGAGCGCGAAGGCGCCCCCCGAAGCGCAC